GACACCTGGGTACCCGGTGTTGCAAGCGCTGGTAACTGGTGCCTGATCTGCCCACCCTACAAGCTGCTATCCTTAACTCCATCAATATGTTGCACAGCGGTCAGAACTCTGTTATGAGACGTGCACTTGCAGAGAAGCAGTTCCTAATTGATGCCTGTTTGATATGGATTTGCTTGGAAACACACACCCAGATACAACCAACTTGAGGCAATCGGGTGGGCTGCAATCGGTGCAGGAGTGGACACACGCTCAGTGTCGCATAAGAACAGGCCTGATGGTATGGGTATGTTTATCATCCGGTGGGAGACATGCGTGCAACGGCTCACACATTATCAAGTTACTCGATTCCATCGCTGCCTTCGAACTCGGTGGCAAACTTGGGTTCAAACTAGGTGATGTGCGGTCATCACTACCGTGCAGAGAAGAAGTTTGGGACTGTCCGACTACAGAGCAGATTGCTGAGGAAGCCTCCCACTCAGGCAAGTCTGGCGGAATGGTTGGAGATTGTTCACCAACTGACAATTCGGCTAGTCACACTTCTCCGAGCAATTGAGTTTCTCTACCTCGAGAAGAGGTTGCCGCCAAAGCTGAGCCAGTTCAGCGTCCAGATTATGGTTTACGCCATATGTCGAAGGACGAAAGAAGCTATCGAGCAGCACACATTTCCACTTTCATCCTGGATACCGAGCGCCAGCATCAACAAGCGCCCACATTCGGAACATTTGGAGGAGACGTGGCCACCCTCTCTCCCAATCCTCTCTAAGTGGCGGAATAGTGCTTGCGATTGCATGGACATTCTACATTGGGATGCCAACAGTATGGCTGCGAGAGCTGGAGGCTGGGAGCACCCTATCATTCTGCATCTTCATCTCTCGCGGCTCTTAATCTTGGCACCAGTCGAACATGCACGGGTTCTCACAACGACATTGGCATACAGGGCCCAAAAGTAGGCCCTCGGACGGTGCTAAATACGCACAAGCACGAAACCACTTGGTTCAGTGGGCCATTTGTGATCAACATAAAGCACGGCTCAGTATTATTCATGCTGGAGCGTTGTTATGGCACGTCCGTCGTTACAGCTCTGGCACCTTTCTCGAGCCATTCTCGATCTATTTAGCAACCATCGTGATCTGGGCTTACAGTGTGTCCGTACAGTCAGTTCGGCAGCAGACAGATCTTGAGACACAAAACCCAAACTCTCGACCAGTTTTCGCAACGACCTCGCTCGCGCCAGCCTCGTCCATTGGACTTGAATTAGTGTCAGATGAGGACACGGAGGAAAGCCCTGAGCCGTCCTTCATTCACCTTGATCGGCCATGCGATGACGAAATGGTTCAGACATACGTTCGACTTGGGGACAGAATGTCTGCTTATATGTCGAGAGTAGGCAATATTCTTGACCCAGGAGCGCCTAGGAAGATAGTGCACCAAGGCCACAGACTCCTGACATCGCAGCGAGAGGGTTTTCGTGGAGCCGTCTTTGATAAGATGCGGACAGACTCGCCGAAACAAGACCACGATGGTCAGGCTTCCGCTTGGGGGATCGAGCGAGGTTATGCAGAACTATTGGAGCGCCTAGCCGCGGCAACAGTAGGCAAGGATCGCCATCCACTGTAAACAGGAGTTCACCACATGAGGGTCCAATCCTGAGATGCCTGCATGAAACTTGTAGCCCCTCTCCCCACCGGAGAGAAGACCCCTCTGACTCTGGATAAAGCTGCTCCGGCGGGATAGTGGAACGCTTTGTCAAAGGGCCTCTGCCATGTGAACTCAGTTGGGAGAGTATCCAACGCGATGGGTCGATACGATACGTGCTGCCACATGATTTTCCCCACTTCCCCAGACTTTGTATGCTCGAGGAAGACTGAGCTGTACTGATCGCCTGACTGAATGTGACGATGGCGAGCCATCTTTCGGTGCAGCCCCATTCCACTGCTACTTATACGAGCAGTCCTCCGCCGATCGCCTATGGAGTACAACTTTATTGTGCTCAGATTGTCCACCGATTTCGGGCACTGTAGAACTCTGGAAGGTTAGCCCACTCGATATTCGACAGCTAAGCATTGCAACTGAAAACCGCTCCCTGGCCACACGAAGCCCCAGTGGCCACCTCAACTCGGCATACTTCCAAAGCAGTCTCGATATGGGGAGTTCTATCCACGAGGAGAAGGCGGCTGAAGCTGTTGAACTGGATCATGCCCCCGACAAAGACATTTCAATGGCCCAGCAATCAGCCGAAGATGAACACAACCTCACCCTTCGCGATGCCATCCGTCGCTACCCTCAGGCCGTCTTGTGGTCGGTCTTACTGTCTGCCTCCATCATCATGGAGGGCTACGACATCGTCCTCATCAGTTCTTTCTTCGCGTCGCCTGCCTTTCGTCGCCATTATGGCGAGTACGTTCCTCGAACAGGCACATACGAAATCACAGCCTCTTGGCAGAACGGACTCAGCAATGCCGTGAGTGTCGGTACCATCATTGGTGCATTTGCCAACGGCTACTTTACCCACAAATTCGGATATCGCAAGGTCCTCCTGGCATCTTTGGTGTTCATTTGTGGCTTCTCGCGATTTCTTTCTTCTTCGCC